GGGGGGGGGGGGGTGTTAGGGTTTAGAGTTTTCAGAACTCCCTTTCAAACATTTTACCAACTTTCGAATAAAAGCCGAAGACCGAAAAACCTTCTAAAACGGTCGAGCGAAACCCACCATGAAATCTTAACAAACCTTACAACAGCCGGCCCCTAAACCCTCAACCCAACACCCCAAACCCATAGCAAACCTCGGAAGACTCGGAAACTAAACCCTCAACCCTAAACCCTGGACCTTTGAGCTGAGGTGCAAGGTGGCTTCAGTGCCGACACTCCCGAGGTTCCGGGGTTTTCAGAGTTGCGGGGTTAGTTTTTAAGGGCCTATGGTTTTCGGATTCTGGGTTAGAGGGTTCGTTGTGTTTAGGGTGTTTCGGGTTTTTGCTTCAGGGTTTAGGGTTTAGTGGTCCGCGCCATTCTGCGCCTCTGGATCTATGGCTATTCAGAGATTGGAGGCTGAATTGAACTGCCACCACGTTAGAAAGGGTCATCTTCTCTTGTTGGTGGTACGGCAGACAGGGGTAGCGTGTGGAAGCCCTTACTTCCTTTGTGCCGTTTTTGCAATTGCACGTATGCGAAAGAAGAATCACAGGCAAGCTCTGAACTCACCCACCCCGCCGGCACTTCTGACTGACACAGGTAACAGGTAATACTACTGATACTAATATTTAAAAAAACAATAGCAAAAGATGTAATCTTAACTACTGTAGTTTGAAGCATTGGTCTTTATTCTTGTAATTCTATATACACCTAGACAGGACGAGTCTTTCCGGTACAGACTGGGACGGTTCAAGTTTTCAAGTTTTTGCCCCAAAGATCGCAGCGCCAGGCCGGAGACTTGCTGGGCTCCGCCATCGCAGAGGCACGTGGGAGCTGCTAGGGGGTGTTTCCGGGCAGGGGGAAATGCTGCGGGTTCGAGGGATAGGGCAAAACTCGTAGCTTCTGATGATGGCAATCCGTCATAAGTTGCAGCAGCGGCGGCAGCCGAAGCGCTTGATTTCCAGGTGGCACAACAAGGCGTCGACGCCGCCTTCCTCGATGCAGCGCGGAACTCTCTGGCCAACTGGCAGGCACTGAAGGGCCTCAAAAGACCCGAAGAGCTCTTTCTATGCGAGTCGCATGAGGGAGGTAGGGGCACCTTTCGTGTGTCACTGCAAAAGCTCTAGGCGGCAAGGATCAGGGTGCGAGTTGGATTGGCTGAATGGCTTTTCCCCAACCCTAAAAAACCCTAAACCCTAAACTCAAAAGCCCAAACCGTAAACCCAAAACCCTAAATCCTGAACCCAAAAGCCTAAACCCTAAACACACACCTAGAAGCCTAAACCCCGAATCGTCAAGTGCAGAGTTCGCTGTGTGCCCGAGGTTTTGGGGGTCAAGCGCTGTCGTGGCACGACCTGTTATACTGCACTCTATTATATTATATGTTATTGCACTCAATTATACTACAGCATACTGTTTTTATGTCTTGCTATACTTGACTATACCATACTATACTAGACGAGGCTACACTAGACTATACCATACTATACCGTATTATACTATACTATATTGTACTGTATTGTAAACTATGGTGTTTTCATTCTTCTAACCGACGAGCTGAAAACAAGACGACTTACCAATTCTGCTCGCCAGGAATCACGCCTGAAACGGGCCAGACAGGATCTGGTAACTGGGCCCAGTTGTTCGCCAATTGCATAGAGATTATCACAGAGTTTCAGTACAATATATAAGTCTATAGGGACTCCAGAAAGGGAGGTATTCCTATAGAACTATATATATATATACACACATATATATATATAGATATTCATGAGCTCTGCAGCAACAGGCATTTCGGTATAACTATGTAGGGACTATACTGGTCGTTAGTTTCAGTATGTGAGCATCTCCGGGACAGGTTGTCGAATTGAACCCAAGCACAAAGAGAGAGCTCAGTGCACAATTCAAGGCGGTTTCTCGTTGACATAAGCCAGCAGGGCTCCAATCCTGCTCGAATCGCAATCGTTAGCCATTAGCCAGATGTGAAGCTGGGAGCAGGTCAAAGTCGTAAGAGATGCAGGCAAATTCTTGATTTACCATGGCCCTGAGAGTTTGTTTCTGTTTGATATGAACCGTCCTGTTCCGAAGAAGAGTGCTTCAGGACCCTAAACCCGAAACCCTAAACCCCCAAACCCTAATAGCTTGAACTTTATGACTCCAAGAACGGGGCTCACGGTCGATGCATGGAAGTGTTATTTCCTAGCTGCAGAGGCCATGCTCCCATAAGGTTTCGGAAAGCCCTAGGCCCTAAGCCCTAAACCCTGGGTTGAGGCTTTCGGATTCAAGCTTTCGATTCCCGAAACCCAGGAACTTGCCATGCGGTATTTGGACGAAGACTACCTCAAGGCCGGCGACTGCAGGCTTTCGGGTTTAGGTTTTAGGGTTAAGGGTTTAGGGTTGAGGGTGGGTGGCAGTGGCAGGAGGATGAAGCAGTAGCAGCAACAGCAAGAGCAACGTCAAAAGCCCGCAGCACCTGTGAGACACTGCAGTAGCCATAGCCACGTTTGCCATTGGCTCGACCAATATTTCCCAGATCTACTAAGTGGTAAACCCTAAACCCTAAACCCTACACCCTGAACCCTAAACCCTAAACTAATAAAGTGGAACACGTCGCAATGCGAGGATTCCCTCGAGTTGGCCCGCACCGCCGGCATCGACGAGGCTCGGTTGTGGGACATGGGGAGTTCTCTAAATTAGGGTCCCTTTTTAGGTTCCCGTTTGAAAAAGGTACCGTACTTTTTTGGGGACCTAAAAAAGAAACCTAATCCAGAGAACTACTAACATGATGAAACGTGTGAGATAAAGCCCCGAAGCCTGAATCGTCAGCATGTCTTATTGTCTACACAGTTCCCTTCTCCAAGAGTTCTGGCTTCATGTGGTATGTCAAGGTTGCATGGGCTTTGCCCATGGTGTGTGAAGAGAGCAGATTCTCAAACAACTGAGTGGTTTAAGGCACTTGTTTCCGACAGGACCCATACCCATCACATTAGTTTATGCAAGACATGACTCTACAGAATGCCCAAGAATGCAAGAACAGACATGACCCGGAGCATGAGATCCACCACTTCTTCTGCTACCATCACAGCATGCGGCAAAAAGTTACCTAAACCCTAAACCCTAACGATTAAGCTAGGTGGCAGCAGAGCGATGAGGTGAAGCGCTCTTGCCGCTTTGAACTCCTAAGCTGCCTCATCCAGTCGATCGGGTTTAGGGTTTGCGGTTTATGGTTTAGGGTTATGGGTTTATGGGCTTAGGATTTAGGGTTTATGGTTAAAGTTTAGGCCAAGTTTGAACTGCATGAACTTTAGTATGAAATGAAGCTACAATTACGAACATGTTGGGCTACACTTGTCAGCTTTGGGGCAAAGCTGATATTCTTCAAGTTGGAAAACGGCGACGGATGACTACAGTAGTGATGATAGCAGCGCTAGGCCGCTAGGCGCTCGCAACACCACTTCCAGAAAATGGTCGACACGCCATTCACGCTGTTGCTGCTAACAGTGGACTTCAAAGAGGCAAGAGGCTAAAATTACGATAGCACCAGTATTTGTAGCACATAGCCCTGATGGTCACGGAAACCCCAATATGGCCGAAACCGAAGGAACAGTTCCCCATTTCGGAGATTCAACAAACAAGCGGGCCTTTACATTGAGCCCATCTAGTAGGAGCATTACTTCCGGGACCCTGAAGTAAGCCTTAAGATGCACCAAGTTTTCATCCCGATCTTCTTTGCAAGAGTGCCTGAGCAAACGCCGGAGGAGAGCATCGAGCAGGCAACTAGGCTCCTTACGCGGCTTCGCATGGTGGACGAGGTGAACAAGATGATGGACCGGGTCTTGGGATTTGCCGGGTTCAGACTTTAATATTTTAGGATCTCGAGTCGGAGGTTATTATATCGTGTTGTGTCTAGCATAAGTTTTTGCTACCGCAATGGCTGTAGTTCGAGCTGTTGCTGCTGTTCACGCGACTGCGGCGCCGGCGTTTTGTGGGCACTCTTGCCCCAACCTGCAAGGACAAGACCATGGAGGAAACCGCCTTGCCTCCCCTGGAAGCAGCGATACAGACCGCCCACAGCCACTTCTTCGTGGAGGAGGAGTCCCTTCAGAGCTTCCCCGCCGGAGTTTCAAGGGATCTCGATCCTCTTTTGGAACTCAATTCGTTTCGCTCAGGTTCGATGCTTGAAATTCCGTGGTGGCCGTGTTGGGGGTGGATTGAGACTTTTCATCATCGTGGTCTCTGCTCTTCCGGGCGTCTCCGGTCCCCTAACCGTCATAACCACCCCCTTGTGGAGTCCCTCAAGGAACCGGACACGGACAGGGACCCTAAAAGGAATGTATGTATGTGTATATATATATATATATATTTTTTTTATGTATATATATAAATACACACACATTTTTATATTGCAGTATACTTTGCATTCTGTTCTATTCTCATCTATTATATTATGTCATATCATATTACATTACATTATATGATACTGTATTATATCATATCATATTGTATTATGTTATATTATTTTATATGATACTATATTATATTATATTATATTATATTATATTATATTATATTATATTATATTATACTATATTATATTATATTATATTATATTATAGTATATTATATTATATTATATTACA